TCTCCAGGACAGCAGTCCGGGCAGCAAGTTCCTGGCTGAACTCCAAATGCACAGGCAACCAAAGCAAAATAGACCATTGCGCCGGCATCAAACTCGAAGCTTCTGCACAGCAAGGAAGCCATGAGCAGCGTGAGGAGACAGCACGCAGATCAGAAGGACACATTTGCAAACCCTACCTCTGATAAGGAGCTAATATCCAAAATGTGCAAGGCACGCAAACAGCCAAAAGAACAAATAGCCCAATCAAAACCGGCAAAGACTCCGAGCATAGATTTCTCAAAAAAGAAGAAATTTGAGGCCAGGCACAGTGGCTCACGCCTGGGTCCTGCCGCCTGGGTGGCTTATTACAATAGTGCTGGGATTCCAGGCGTGAGCCATGGCAGCCAGCCCATTTTTTTTAGAGCGTGTTTTTATGGTACCTTTTCTATATTTAGACACACAGGGACTTACCATCTTGGTGCAGTTGGCCACGTTGTTCAGTGCAGCGGCGAGCTGTGCAGATTTGTAGTCCAGACACAATAGTCTCCACCATCCTGCCCAGGTGTGTAACTGCCATGCTGTCTAGGTTTGTGTGGACACACTCTGTGATGTCCACACAATGATGAAATCACCTGATGATGCATTTCTCTGAACATACCCCTGTCGTGAAGCAATGTGTGGCTGTATTTCAATTTACAGAGAATTTTCAGGGCATATAAAGTGCCAGAAATCACCGGATTAATTCTTCATAACAACCTCCTCCTTCTCTCACCTAGATCGTAATAGACTAGAGGCCAGGCGTGGTGTCTCATGCTTGTCATCCCAGCACTTTTGGAGTCTGAGACAGGAGGATTGCTTGAGCCCTAGGGTTCGAGACCAGCCTGGGTCACATAGCAAGACCACGTCTTCACAGAAAAAAAAAATCAAAAACTTAGCAAGGCCTGGTGGCACATGCCTGTAGTCTCAGCTATGCGGGAGGCTGGAGAAGGAGGATCGCCTGAGGCCAGGGGACGGAGGCTATGGTGAGGGTGAGCCATAATCGTGCCACTGCACTCCAGCCTGGGTGACAGAGTGAGGGCCCAACTAAAAAAAAATTAAGCCGGGCTCGGTGGCTCAGCCTGTAATCCTGCGCCTTTGGGAGGCTGAGGTGAGTGGATTGCCTGAGCCTGCGGGTTCGAGACCCGCCTGGACAGGCGAGACCTCATCTCTACAATAAATCAAAAAATAATTAGCCGGGCGTGGTAGCACGCGCCGTAGTTCCAGTTACTTGGAAGGCTGAGGCGGAAGGATCGCCAGAGCCCAGCAGGTCGAGGCTATGGTGGCCGGGAGCGGCCACTGCACTCCAGTTTGGGCGGCAGTGAGACTCCAACTCAAAAAAAAAAATTAAGTTGGAAATGCAGTTAGTAGAAGTGACTATATCTGGCTAGCATAGGGCAGAGCACATAGTAGGTGTTCAGTCAATATTTACGGCCCACTCTCTTCCCAATGAAGATGTGTCTCCAGGCCAAGTGGCCAGGAGAGACAGCCTCGATGTCTGTCGCGTGAATTGAGTTTCAATTCCAGCTCTTGAGGTTGTGGTAAGAGGTGATATCCAGTCATCAGAACGTACCGGGCACCATGCTAAGTTTCAGTCACTCATTTACTACTGAATTGTATTAACTGAGTGGCCCTGTGAGATGGGACATGTGACTGTCCCCCGTTCACCGGTGCCAGAGCTCAGGTCCCTAGATGCAAAGTGATCCGACCTTCCAAGGTCGCCTGCTGACTGGTGATGAAACCAGGTTTTCAGTGCGGCCCCAGCAGAGGTGGGAGAGGGGGACTCCCGCCTGTGTGCCTGGCAGAGAGCCCCAGAGCGTATGAGCACACCCCCTCCCGACCCCCGAGGCTTCCCAGGGTCTCACGCCTGTTTGCCAGGCCCCTTGGAGCCCTGTGGGTCTGGGCACACGCTTGGTATCTGCAAGGTCTTGGGGCAGAAACACTTAGTTCCTGGTGAGGGGCCACCGCCACTGGGCCTGGCCGACTGCCTCCAGGTGGGAATGTGCGCTGGCCTCGCTGCCACAGCTTCCAGGAGTGCAGTGAGGTGGCCCAGAGAGTGTGCCCTGAACCTTCTGGTTCTTAGCTAGTTCCTGGACCCTCCTCCGTCTCCTCTGGCCTCTGTTTCCTTGGCTGTAAGATGGGGATAGCGCTGGTCCCTACTCCCTGGGTTTCGAGGAGGAGCAAGTAGCTCCTAGCGTGAGCTGTGCTCCCTGCAGTGTGTGGCATCTGCTCAGTGTTCCAGAAACATCAGCTGTTCTCTTCATTTAAGGATGCCGAAGCCGGGCTCCGTGGCTCAGCCTGTAATCCCGCGCTTTGGGAGGCTGAGGTGAGTGGATTGCCTGAGCCCGCGGGTTCGAGACCCTCCTGGGCAACTTGGCCAGATCTCATCTCTACAATAAATCAAAAAAATCAGCCGAGCGTGGTAGCGCGCGCCTGTAATTCCGGCTACTCGGAAGGCTGAGGCGGAAGGATCGCCGGAGCCCGGCAGGTCGAGGCTGCGGTGGCCGGGAGCGGCCACTGCGCTCCAGTCTGGGCGACAGAGTGAGACTCCGATGCAAAAAAAAGAGGATGCCGAGACCCAGATTTTCATGGGAGATCTCCCAGTTTTTGCAACATGGGCCAGTAATCCCAACTTTCACAAACCCAGTATGAACCTACATTGCCCCTGGCTGGTGTGTCAACTCAAAATTGCCGGTGAGAATTTTGCTAATAGGAGGTGGCTTCCTCTGAGGTGTGTGCCGTGTCCTATGTCTGGCAAGTGGGGTGGTTTGGATGGGTGAATGGAGGAGTGAATGAATGGTGAAATGGTGAACAGATGAATGAAGGAATGACGAGGGGATGGATGAATGGAAGAACAAGTGCATGGATAGGTGGACGGACAGACGGATGACGGACGGACGGACGGATGACGGACGGACGGACGGATGATGGACGGACGGACGGATGACGGACGGACGGACGGATGATGGACGGACGAATGAACGGATGCACTATTGAATGAGCAAATGCTGAAAGAATGAATAAATGAATGAGCAGATGGAGGAATGGATGGATGCACTGTTGAATGAATCAACCAGTGAAGAACAATAAAGAACTGCGTGCAATTGAAGGTTTCTAAGAAAAGGGTTTTTCTGGTTTTGTGAGTCTGCAGTGGCACAATCTCGGCTTGCTGCAGCCCTAACCTCATGGGCTCAGGTAATGCTTCCACCTCAGCCTCCTTTTTAGCTGGGACTACAGCACATGCCACCATGCCTAGCTAATTTTTTCACTTTTCTTAGAGACGAGGTCTCACGATTTTGCCCAAGCTGGTCTCACGCTCCTGGCCTCAAACAATCCTCCCATCTCAGCCTCCCAAGGTGCTAGGATGACAGGTGTGAGCCACCATGTCTGGTCTCATTTATTTTTCCATAACACTTCTCACCACCCGCCCCCCCCAATGACTTACGTATGTAGTACATTCACTTGTCTGTCTCCCCCACTAGAACGTCATTATCAGGAGGTCAGAGATCTGTTGCCTAATGTGTCTGGAGCCAGAGCCTTGCGTACAATAGGTACTCAATAAATGCTCAAGAGCAAATATAGGTGCAGGCAGAGGACGTGCCTGGCTCCTTCCTTGGCGATCACTTCTAAAGTGGAACATCCATAGAACATCAGAGTCTCCACCTTACCTCCTCCTGGAAGCCTTCTAAGCATGCTGTGTGCAGCACTGTTCCCTGCCCCTGTATCAGGGGTTCTGAACAGAGGTTCCTGCTTTGTCCTGCCCTGTGGTGTGACCTCCAGGGGCACCAAATGTGGCTGGGAGTGAGAGATCTGGAAAATTGGCTCCTGGGCTGGGCATGGTGGCCCACACCTTTAATCCCAGCACTTTGGGAGGCCAAGCAGGAAGCTTGCTTGAGGTCAGAAGTTTGAGATCGCCCTGGGCAATATAACAAGACCACTTCTCTACAAAAATAACTTAAAAATTAGCCAGGCATGGTGGCACGCACCTTTGGTCCCAGCTAGTAAGGAGGCTAGGGCAGGAGGTTCACCTGAGTGCAGGAGTTGGAGGCTGCAGTGAGCTCTGAGATTGTACCACTGCACTCCAGCCTGGGCGACAGAGCAAGACCTTGACTTAAAAAGAAAAGAAGGCTGGGCTCAGTGGCTCAGCCTGTAATCCCAGCACTTTGGGAGGCCGAGGCAAATGGACTGCCTGAGCCCGCGGGTTCAAGACCATCCCAGGCAACTTGGCAAGACCTCGTCTGTACAATAAATAAAAAATTAGCCAGACGTGGTAGCGTGCACCTGTAGTTCCAGCTACTTGGAAGAGTGAGACGGAAGGATCGCCGGAGCCCAGCAGGTCGAGGCTGGGGTGGCCATGAGCATGCCACTGCACTCCAGCCTGGGTGACCGAGTGAGATGCCAACTCAAAAATGAAAAGAAAAGAAAATTGGCAGCCGGGTATAGTGGCTCACGTCTGTAATCCCAGCACTTTGGGAGGTGGAGGCGAGAGGATTGCCTGAGCCCTGGGGTTCAGAAGAGCCTGGGCAACTTGGCGAGACCTCACCTCTACGATAAATCAAAAAAGAAAATTAGCCAGGTTTGGTGACATGGCCTGTGGTTCCAGCTACTTGGAAGACTGAGGTGGAAGGATGGCCTGAGTGCAACAGGCTGAGGCTGCGGTGGCTGTGAGTGTGCTACTACACTCCAGTCTGGGCGACAGACTCTGACTGGAAAAAAAAGAAAACTGGCTCCTGCCGTGGAGCGCCATCAACTGCCCCATTAACGTCCTGAGCTCTGACTGGTTACATCTAATTCTGTTAATTTCAGGGACATGGTCTTCTCTTCAGCTCCATCCCCGCACAGCTAAGCCCTTGGGTTGAGTTGGGTCCCCCGGGCCAGAGGACTTGCTGGAGTGGCTAATGGATCCCCTGGCTCAGATCCATGCCTGGGTCACACACCGGCTGGTTTCCTCCTCAGCCTCACAATCTCCATCTCTTCCCTGACAGGTTCTCCCTTTGCCCGAGCCAGCATTAAAAGTGCCAAGCTGGAGAACTCGACTTTTTTCCACAAAAAGGAGAGGAGGATGCGTTTCTACATCCGCCGCATGGTCAAAACTCAGGCCTTCTACTGGACTGTGCTCAGTCTGGTAGCCCTCAACACGCTGTGTGTTGCTATCGTTCATTACAACCAGCCCGAGTGGCTCTCCGACTTCCTTTGTGAGTACCACCCCAGCCCCACCCCTGCTGGCTCCCCGATCCCTTCCTCACACCCTTTTCCCACACCCGTTTCTCTGGTCGTACGTATCCTTGTTGGACCTGCCCTTTTGTTTGGCCATTTCTACAACCGTCACTGAGGCTAGAGCCACCGTGGCTACCACAGTGGAACTCAGACCTGAGAGGTGGAAGCTGGAATTCAGGTCACCAGATGCTCCCGGGGTCCCTTTCGGAAAGGACACAGAGATGCTTGTGAAGAGAGTATTGAGAGAGAAAAAGAGAAAAACAGAGAACACAAGACAGACAGAAACAGAAACCTACTTCTGATTTTTATGTGGGAATGTTAAAATGATGTATGGTGAAGAGATGGAAGCGCCTTCTATGGTATCCCCATTCTCTCTGCTTTTGACAACTCCCTGCTTCTCCCCTTCTTTTTTCAAACCTCCTGCTTTTTTCTTCCCTCTTTGGCTCTCATTCATTCCTAGAATATCCCTTCCCGTAAGTGTGAGAGCATTTTGTTTCCTTGATGGGTACCAGGACCCTCAAGTCTTTGCCCTTTGGGCCCATTTCCAGATTGCCTGTCCTCAAGCTATCCTCCCTCCTCCTTAGCATGAGATAGCAGCAACATTGAGGGCGAGGTGAGGGTGGGAAGCTTAAAAAATAAAGAGCTCTGAGAAATCAACAATAGTAACTGGACAGTGAGGAGGGCAAACGGAAGCCCTGGCTCTGGCTTGTGGGCCCCAAGTAAGGAAGGCTTCTGACTACCTTTCTCCCACGTGTATTGGTGTGTCTGACTTGTTCACTGCTCTTCTGACCTAGTTCAGAATTGAGCTAGGACAGACGCAAGAGACAGTCTCGTCTTTGACCTAGAAAGGCACAAGCTCCTAGTCCAGGTTGTCATCATCTCATAACCCTCATTGTTCCCAGTCACATTGCCTGACCCTGCCCCCCAGCCCCCAGAATACCCCTCAGGGATCAGTTCTCCTTCCGAGAGCACTGACCCAGTTCCAACCTTAGTAATTGCATTTGATCCCTCTGGAGTCTCTTACAAATGAGGACTCTTCTTGTTTTAACTTCTCTGACAGTCTATTTTTAATCCCCTACATTATCCCCACTACTCACAGTCTGTCCTGGTTCAGGAACAGGGGATTGTGACCTCTGTAAATGTCCTTTAATCATTCCCATTTTCTAGTTGAGAAAACTGAGGCACAGAGAGAGTAAGTAACTTACCCAGGGTCACACAGCCAGTCAGTGATAAAGCCAGACAGTTGGACTCCAGAGTCTAAGCTGTATCAGATGACAGATCCCTATCCTGGGCTGCAGGTGACCTGAATTCTCAAAGACTGCCCTGGCCCTAACTACCATGTGACCTTGGCCAAGTCATTATCATTGTCCACTGATCAAAGACACCTCCGACTAGAAGGCCATCTTTTATGTACCACTAAGAAATACAACTGCCATCTAAACTAGGACATGATGATTTTAAAGATACACTTAAATGTCAGAGATGTCAGCATGTAAACAGTCTGCCAGGTGTGGGTGTCTCTCTGGGTCTCAGACCCCTCAACTGTACTTGGTGGAAACTGGATTTGACACCCCTGAAAGTTCTTCCACCATGGATAAGGAATTCTCTCAGTCTGGGGCATCATGAGCGATCGTGTTTCCATGGTAACCGGGAACAAGACCTCAGAAACCCTTCAGTCCTCCCACAGTGGCTTCTGGTGGGTCTTGGAATGCACCAGATGTCACCAACGGATTTCCTTTGCTGATATTTGGGTCCTGGAGACTCCATAGCTGCCCTCAGACGCCAGATGCTCCTTAGAGTCCTACAAATAAGGAGAGGTTTCCGTGGGGAATGAATGTGAAGGACTTTGATCGTCAGTCCAAAGCACCTTCTCAAACACATGATCCCCCAAACACCCTGGGCCATCACCTCAGTTTGCATGTGCCGCTGCAACACAATCCCTGAGACTGGCTCATTCGGTGAGAACAGAAATGTATCTTCTCACTCTTCTGGAGCCTGGGAAGACCAAGAACAAGATACTGGCAGATTTGGTTGTCTGGTGGGGGCTGTTCTCTATTTCCAAGATGCACCTTGGATGTTGTGTCCTCACATGACAGAAGGTGGAAGGGCAAGAGAGACAAGCTGCCTGCATCAAGCCCTTTTATAGGGCGGCTAATCCCATGACCTCACGCCCTCCTGAAAGCCCTGTCTCTGCCGTGTTGGTGATTAGGTTTCAACAAGAATTTTGGAGGGGATACAAACCTTCAAACCATAGCAGCCTTCAAGCCTAGTTAGCCAGGTGGCTATAACTGTGAAATTCTTGGAAGTTAGCTTGGGTTCTCTGTGTTTCCTTCCTATCTGCTCTCTTCCCCGTAGAAACCCTCCCTACCCCTCCTTCCTATCCTTTATCAAGAAACCCAACTGGGCATGATGACTCACGCCTATAATCCCAGCACTTGGGGAGGCTGAGACAGAATGATTGCTTGGGCCCAGGAGTTCGAGACTAGCCTGGGCAATATAGTAAGACCTCATCTCTACAAAAACAAAAATTAAAAATAAACTGGGCATGGTGGTACACACCTGTAGTCCCAGCTACTTGGAAGGCTGAGGTGGAAGGATCGCCTGAGCCCAGGAGATCAAGGCTGCTGTGAGTCGTGCATGTCATGATCATGCCACTACATTCCAGCCTGGGCAACAGAGTGAGACCCTGACTCAAAAAAATACCTGATGTTAGCCGGGCTCAGTGGCTCAGCCTGTAATCCCACGCTTTGAGAGGCTGATGTGAGTGGATTGCCTGAGCCCATGGGTTCGAGCTCCTCATGGGCAGCTTGGCAAGACCTCATCTCTACAATAAATCAAAAATTAGCCAGGCGTGGTAGTGTGCGCTGTAATTCCAGCTACTTGGAAGGCTGAGGTGGAAGGATCACCAGAGCCCAGCAAGTCGAGGCTGCGGTGGCCGAGAGCATGCCACTGCACTCCAGTCTGGGCGACAGAGTGAGACTCCAACTCGAAAAAAAAAAGACCTTATGTCAATCATTTCTTTTGTTGGAACAAACCAATATCCACATTTTGCCCCTCCCAGAGGCACTTTCACTTTTATGCTTTCTCATCAAAGAACAAAAGGTTTTGTCTTCCTCAAGACTCTTAGACCACCAGCAAGACAGGATCTCTAAGGGACATCAGATTAGTTTTCCAACTTGGGAGAAAAGCCATGCCTTACATGGGCTGCCCATAGTACACCAGCCAAGTTCCTGACACCAGGCTTGCAAACAGACATCACCATGCTTTCCACTTCTTTCTTTCCTTTGGAGCTCAGGCATGTCAAAGCTGATGAAGCTTAAGTCTTAGATCGTGACACACTGGCATTAGGGGGCCATGCTTGGCCCCTGGTTATTTTGGCCATTAACCAGCTAGTTAGTTAGTTTACTTTTTTTTTTTTTTTTTTTTTGAGTTGGAGTCTTACTCCATCTCACAGGCTGGAGTGCAGTGATACACTCACAGCCACCCCAGCCGTCTACTTGCTGGACTCTGACGATCCTTCCGCCTCAGTCTTCCAAGTAGAAGGAACTACAGGCACGAGCTACCATGCCCAGATAGTTTTTTATTTATTGTAGAGATGAGGTCTCACCAAGTTGTCCAGGCTGGTCTCGAACCTGCGGGCTCAGGCAATCCACCCACCTCGGCTTCCCAAAGTTCTGGGATAACAGGCTGAGGCGTCAAGCCCACCCTAGTTTACTTTTAAAATGTAATAAGCATCCGGGAACTGACCAGTCCACACAACAGCTAAGTCCTTGGCGATAACCTGCATCCAACCCTTCTCACCAAAGCAGGGTGAAAACCACAAGATGGAGACCCGCTAAGCTTTTTCTCACTGCTTTTAAGATTGGCCTGAGATGGGTGCAGGGTGGCTCAGGCCTGTCATCTCAGCACTTTGGGAGGCAGTTTTTTTTGAGTTGGAGTCTCACTCTGTTGCCCAGACTGGAGTGCAGTGGCCACTCCCGGCCACCGCAGCCTCAACCTGCTGGGCTCTGGCGATCCTTCCGCAAAAATTCTTTTTTAAAGGTTGATCTGCGATTGGTTGGTTGGTTGGAGGGTGGGGAACAATTGTTTCTCTTCCCTTTTAACAGAAGGGAAACTGAAGCCCATGGAAAAGAAGGCTTGCATAATTTTTTTCTGAGGCGACCAAGACCATCCTCTCTCTCCCTGCCTGCCAGGGCAGGCCAGGCACATGACAGGGTTATTATTAAAGGAGAGTCAGAAGCCAGACATGGTGGTACATGCCTGTAGTCCCAGCTACTTGGGAGGTTGAGGCGGAAGAATCACTTGAGGCTAGGAGTTCATTTGAGACCAGCCAGAGAAGCATAGCAAGACCTCATCTGAAACCAACAAAGAGTTTTTCTGAAAACAATGAAAGGGTCAGGCACAGGGTCTCAAGCCTGTAATCCCAGCACTTTGGGAGGCGAGGCAAGAGGCTTACCTGAGTTCAGGTGTTTGAGACCCGCCTGGGCAACTTGGTGAGACCTCAGTCTCGACAATAAATTTAAAAAGTAGCCGGACGTGGTAACGTGCTTGTAGTTCCAGCTACTTGGAAGGCTGAGGTGGAAGGATCACCTGAGCCCAGCAGATCGATGCTGGGGTGGCTGTGAACATGCCACTGCACTTCAACCTGGGCAACAGAGAGACTCAGACTCAAAAACAAAAAACAAAAAATAGTAATAATAAAGATGGCTCCCTCAGGTCCCCTCCCACTGTGGGAGCTTCTCTGTCCTCATAATGAATCCTGCTTTCAAAAAAAACTTTAAAAAAACCAGACAATGAAAGGGAAGTCAGAGCCACCTGAAACTCCTCTCCTCAGCAAGCCTAACCTCCTCTTTTTCTCCTCCTTCTCCCCTCTAGACTATGCAGAATTCATTTTCTTAGGACTCTTTATGTCCGAAATGTTTATAAAAATGTACGGGCTTGGGACGCGGCCTTACTTCCACTCTTCCTTCAACTGCTTTGACTGTGGGGTAAGTGCTCTGCCTTCTAGGGAGCTCATTTCTCCAGCGCTTGCCTAGAATGGCTGATACTTGCCGGCCTCAGAGGGGGAGAGGTAAGATCACCCCGGGATATGAGAGACTCGGATGAATGCAGTAAGAACAAGGGAACCGTCTCAAACGCTGGCAAGGACATGGAGCGCTCCAAATGCTCAACCTCTGCCAGGGGAAGGGAACTTGACAGACTCTCTTTGGAAAGCAGGGGTGGGTAGCCCAGCAAGTTCACCCTTAGAGACTCACCCGAGAGAAACTCACACAGGTGCTGGACACAAAGTTAAGGGTTTCAGCAAACAGGCGGAGAATGCCTGGGCCAGGACAGGCCAAATTGTTTGCCGCGATCCTTAGAAAACCTTAATAACTTATAGTCACTTTGGATCCAGTACTGATTTCTGCCATCATAGGAAATTCCATGTTGTTGGAGGAGAAGACAAACAAAACACGTACAAGCAAATAAAGATTCCCTACATAGATGGCCCAAGTGTTTAAAAATAATACTGCCGGGCTCAGTGGCTCAGCCTGTAATCCCAGCTCTTTGGGAGGCCGAGGTGAGTGGATTGCCTGAGCCCGCGGGTTCGAGACCTGCCTGGACGACAGGCGAGACCTCATCTTTATAATAAATCAAAAATAAGCTGGGCGTGGTAGCGCGCACCTGTAGTTCCAGCTACTTGGAAGGCTGAGGTGGAAGGATCACCGGAGCCCAGCAGGTCGAGGCTGCAGTGGCCAGGAGCAGCTATTGCACTCCAGTCTGGGTGACAGAGTGAGACTCTAACTCAAAAAATAAAAAAAACTAAAAATAAAAATAATACTAATTTCTTCCATTAAAAAAAAAGGCCAGGGGACTCCCTTGGGCCCTCTCCCACTGTGGGAACTTTTCTGTCCTCTTAATAAATCCTGCTTTCAAAAAAAAAAACAAAAACGGGCACCACAGCTCACACCTGTAATCCCAGCACTTTGGGAGGTGGAGGCGAGAGGATTGCCTGAGCTGAGGGGTTTGAGACCAGCCTGGGCAACTTGGCAGGACCTTGTCTTACAATAATTTTTTTTTTTTTT